CCGCCGGGCACCGGAGCGCTGCGGGTCTGCCTACGCTGCGGGGGCTCCCTCCAGCTGCAGGTGAAGTAAAGGGTGGGGAGAATGAGGAGAATTACGCGATCTAAAATTTTTCACGCTTCTCGGACTCATTGCGAAGCGTGGTTTGTGTACGGTTGTGACTCCTCGTGTCCGGTGTTGCTGTACCATCACCCCCTGCCTGCATACAACATCGAGCCAAGGGTCGCGTGCCTGTCGCGCTCGCCGCCGGCGCCCCCTCCCCTCCCCCGCGAAGGTCTGTGTCTAGGGCGGCCGCGGCAGCAGTCTGCTGCAGTCGCCCTGGCGAGCGTGAGCGCGCCGTGCTAGTGACCTGTGAATCTACTCAAGGGCAGGGACGTCATGAGGAGGTACACGAAGCCGCCTTTGGAGTCAGCAAAGCCAGGTAAGTTATCGTGCGGCAAGAGAGCGTAATGCTCACGATATAATTTTTCCTAAACGTATCGGAAGTTTTTCTCCCGGTTCTCATTTTTCTGTATGTGGTGAATTGTTTGGCAGCGAAAATGATAAATTGTAACATCACACGGTTGCCTGAAAGCATTTATTCAATTGTTTACTTGTGTGATAACTTTGTCATGGTGCTTGAAAATGAGGATTGCGATAACAAGTCTCCTGCCTCTCCAAAGTACTGTTCTTTTGGGAAGCTGCCCAATTTGAAACGCCTGACTGACGTGAAGATCAATCCGTGTGTGTTCTTTCTGTAACGGCGCAGGGGACGAGCTGGCTAGAAAGATCGGTAGGGCCTTCCCCGAGCCCTCCAACGACGTACTGGGGAAGCCCAATGTGCGGCCGTACTACTGCGAGCAGTGCGACAGATCCTTCCTTTGCCAGAGCAGCGTCGACAAGCACCTCTGGTACCATCTGAGGCGAGAGGTGTGTGGCCGGCAATCTAGTCTGTCTTTATTAATCACATACACAGTCACATTTACGTATATTACGAAGCGTACACACACGCAGCAAGTTGGAGAGAAAGTCACATTTATGGAGAGGTTGAACAGTATCCAGAAAGTCTCATTTAGGTGAAAGTTATGAACAATAGTTGACGTAGATAAAGTTAATATAGTTGATAACATTGAAAGATAACACATGTACTTATGAGATAACAATAGTTTCATTAGTTACACAAACATCAAGTAGTTCGAGGAGGAAATAGGCACTTCAAAAGGTGCGCGCTCATCTTTTAGCAGAGAATTTAAAACCACCACAAAATTTTCAAGGTTTAATGTTTTACATCACATTTTTGGAATTTCTCACATATTTTACTGATCAATTTTAGTTGCGCCCTAATTCACGTCTATTTCCCGCTTGAGTTACACATATAAGAAATATTTTTTTAATAGTATATATATTTATGGATATAGTTTTGATCAACAACACCGAGGTACACAAAGATATATATGATGTACACGTAAATTATCTTTCTAAAACATGTTTCTTTTTTGTTCTTCCCTTTCCGCCTGGTCAGGTCGGCATCTGGGAGGAGCCCACGCCGCCCGGCGAATCGTACCAATGCGCCGAGTGCGCCGCGCAGTTCCGTATCCTGGACACGTACGTCCAGCACATGGGATCGCACCTCGCTTACCCCTGCAACTGCCGGCTCTGGTACCCCAACAAGCTGGCCCTGGAGAGGCACGCCCTCAAGTCGCACTCCAGGCGCAACCTGCACAACTTCCTGCGCTCCGAGCGGGAGGCCAGGTTCTGGCAGTGAGAGATGTCAGAGACACTTCGGCCAGGGGTCATCACTTCTCTACTACGGTAACACATTACAGGGGCCCAGCTCATAGAGCGTCGTTTTTTTAATGAGCATGAACTCTATTTGTTTTAAATGAGATCCAGCCCCCACGTTTTTAAAGGGAACAATTCTACAAATTTTTGATCAGTATACAATTTTCAAAAAAATAAGAAAAAGATTGAAAATTTTACAAAAAATTAAGATGCTATTTTTAGACAAGATTTAAGATTATACTTTAAAAAGTCATGTCAAAAGTCAAAATGTGAACAAATGAGCAAAAAGTTATATTTTATGTATGTTATAACTATAAACTATCACATTTAATATGGTTTTGACCACTTAGTTCGTATTTTAAGACAATTCAGACATTTAACATTTATAATAAATATTGTTATTTATTTATCACAAATATAATTATTAATGATTCTACGTTTTTGTGATCCCTTCCCACCAGACCAAGAGAACACTGGGTTCATCTTGAGAAAAATTGTAAAAGAAAACAAAGGAACAAACAATACACATAGAGGACATTCATCATACTTCCACTTTGAGAAAGCCTTTGTTTGCCTTAAGGATGTGATGTTGATATGAAACGATTTCACAGTATACTACTGCAATTATATTAATTACTAACACAACACTGATCTAACACAGACAGGAATATAATCACAAAGGGAGATATCTGATACATGATTGGAAGATTACATATGGCACATCGAAAGCAACATCAAAACATATGTCTTACACAAACATCGAAGGCACATATAGCAGCTACGTTTATAAACGTTTAAAAAATGTAAACATCTACCACAGCCGGAAAGAAAACACAGGACAACAATAAAGTCACCACGTAAAGTCAACTGATTTGAATCAGTATACATTTACAATACCCGGGACCTGGAAGAGGAGGGAAGAAGAGGACAAACCTATATCTGAGCACTTTCAGTAGATGCAGTCTTTACATTCAATTAAAGTAGTCTTTGTCTAGAGAAAAACGTAAAACATCAATTCATGCGTGCAATATCAAAAGAAAACAAAATTGAAAGAAAAATTCATAATTATGGACAACATGGATACGAGGAACGTGTAGATAGAAAGAGTTTTGGTTTTCTTCATGGAAGATTGTCCGGTCTGGCTTGGCACTTCTTGAGGAATGCCTGCGCGCGGACTTCGCGATCTGACATGCGGGTCTCTCTGCCGATGCACCTCGCTCTGATGATGTACAGCAGCTTGAGGACCCTCCTCGCGTCCAGGCCGGGGACGGCGTTGACCTCCCCGACGAAGCGGCGGTAGTCGTCGAGGACGTCCCCCCTGGCGTCCAGGAAGGTCTCGAGCGCCTCGCGCAGGCGAGAGCAGGCGGCGCCCGGGCACGTGCAGCGGTGGAGGCGCCGGAGGCCCTCCGGGTCCAGCGGCGACCTGGGGGACGGCGGCGGCGCGACCGGCACCAGGTAGGCGTCGTTGCGCACGATCACGGACTGCTGCCGCGGCACCTCGGACGCGGCGGCGGCGACCGCGACAGCCACGGCCCGGGCGCGGATGCGGTCGCGCAGGGAGCCGCGGGGCAGCGCGGGCCGAGCGACGGCGCCCTCCGAGTCGAACCAGGTCGCGGCGGAGCTCGGGGCCGCCGCCGGGGCGCTGCTAGGGTTGTCCGCGCCCGGCGGCGCCTCGGGGCCTGCGGGGCCCTCCACGATGGGCACGACGTGGAAGCGGGGGCCTCGGAACGGCTCCACGGCCGTAGACGTGCAGATGCTGGCCGTGCTGACCGGCGGCGCGGTGGGCGAGTAGGGCGTCCACACGACGGCCGGGCTGTCCTTGGCCGCGCTCCTGATCGCAATCTTCTGCGCCTCCCTGCGGGCGCTGATGCGGGCCGACCTCCGCGGTGCCGGCTGCTCCTCAATGTCCCCCGTCAGCGGCGCCAGGGCGGAGACCGTCGGCACGTCGTCCTTTGTCACCACGACGCCCGTCGGGGCGTCCCTCGCGGCGTCCCTCGCCAGCACGTCAGCCGCCGCCGTGCGCGTGGCCAGCGACTCCCGTGTCGGCTGCACACCCGGGCCCCAGGACGGCCCCGCGCCGTTGGTGTTGACGTCTTTGTACTCGAGCCGCGTGAAGCGGACCTGGTCGTTGAGGACGCACTCCTCGTCGCTGGAGTCCGCCGCTGCAGCCGCTGCAGCCGCTGGAGCCGCTGGAGCCGCTGGCCGCTGAGGAGCCTCACGGGTCTGCGTGGAGCGCACCGTGTACACCGTCGGTATGATGGACCACTTGACGGCGGGGAGCTTGGCGGCCCCCGCTGCCGCGACCTCCAGGCGGGGGTACTTGTTGTCGGGCCCGCTGGCACCGCTCCGGCCTCCACTGTCGGAGGCCGGGGCCTGGCGTTAGGGTCGGTTCGAGTAGAGGTCGTCGTCGTCGCTCTCGGAGGCCGGAGCCGCCTCCCTCGTGATGTCGGCCACCTCCCACGAGGCGTCCGTCGCCGTCGTCGTCGTCACCGACGTGATTGTCGACGTGTCGTTGGAGGAGTCGTCGTCGTCGGACTCCGGGTGCGGCACGACCAAGGGCTTCAAGGACAGGAACTCGGCCTGCACGCACTTACAATGCTCCCGGTACTGGTGCAGCCTGGTCGCAGCGTACTCCTGCGAGAGCGACAAAGCGGTAAGCACACGAGTTGAAGGGCATACGCGAACAACTTAGGTACGACACGGGTGTAGTTAGATTGTCCGGCCTACTTTTCTCCGACCTGGTAATTTTCCCAAAATCCCCAAAAGTGCTGTCCCACCTCGGTTTTGTCCTACTTATCTTTCTCCGACCTCGTCGATATGCTGAAATTGGGGAAGAATGTGCTTCAAAGAGGAACAGGCTTTCAAAAGTAAAAAATAAAAATGGGGGAGTACTTTCCTCATCCCACCGCAGTAGTTAGCGAACTGTGGTCTCTGTTCCGAACAGCCGC